GTCCTTAACCCTCTTCTCAGGCGTATCGATTGGCATCAATGGTGTGATCAGGAATTTTTTTCTGTTTTTGGTTCAATTATGCCCCTAAATATTTTGCGACCATCTCCAAAAGCAAGAGGGTCCTGTTTATCTTCAAATTTGGACTCATCTATATGATTTGCTTGTCTACGATATTTGGTTATATTCGTCAACGATATCAGCATAAAAAAGCCAAAAGTTCGCCTTTTGTGCATTTTGATTTCGCCTGTAAGTAATGTTGGTATTTTTTCACACAAAAGTAGTGGTCCATTCTAATCGCTGTCCTAAACTCTTACATCATGCGAGATTTCGTGTCCTTTGATTTATATTTGTGACCATTATAACGGCTGCAAAATCAAGAACATTTTTAGTTGTTGGTCCATTTCAACAACAAATAAATTGCGGATATCTTTGAAAACAATAGGCCTAGCTTGTGAAAATTTTCGTGAGGATCGGACGATATTTGCAATCAAACTGTGTTGTAATGTGAAGAATAATATTATAAGTCAAATTGAAAAAATCGCATGCGATAAAATATAAGAAACAATAACAAAGGTCACAAAATACTACAAAATCTATATTAGCATCATTACCTCATACTTTTATGCCAAGAGGGCATTCTGAATTGACAAAATTTGTCAAAATCGGTCCAGCCATTTTTGAGATATAAACATTCAAGCTAACATCCCCTTCCTTTGCATATACGCATTGTATATATTTCGCTATATAAATCCGATATATTTACTATCGGCAGTTACGTAAGAATTTACCTGTTCGTCTATTTGTGATTTCGCCGGGATTAAAATATTTGCGGTCTAATCTAAAATTTGACTTTTATTTAACACAAATGTTATGGCCTATTCCACTAAATATTACCCGATGACCATCAAAATTGGAAGATTTCTGCCCAGCCCTATGCTAACTCGATTGGTCTATAACTGGGCTGCGACCTTTAGAGCAACTGCCAAATCAGGAAATTGTTCAGCTTTTGGTCCATTTCAACCGTAAAAACCAAAAGCAATAGGCTTCTATTCTTACCATAACCCCACCTCCATTCTAAATTTCGTAATTGAGATAGAGCCGTAATTGCGACCTGTAGAGTGATTACAAATTAACATGGACAGACGGACGGACGGACGGACATAGCTAGATCGACTCAGCTCGGTGAGATAGGAAGATCAATATATACTTTCCTATGTAGGAAACCAATATTTCAAGGTGTTGCATAATTTTTGGCCCAATCGAACTTATAATCCTCCCAACACATAGTGTTGTAGGGTATAAAGCTCATTTTCGGCCTTTGGTACGTATTAGATCACTTGTCAATGCATCCAGAAAGGGTCACAGTTTGGTGCGGTTTATTGGAAGCGAATCGTATCGTAACTTTGAATGGTAGGCGCTACCGTCAGATGATATCCAACTTTTTTTGGCCAAAATTTTCGGGCTTGACTTGCATAACATGTGGTTTCAACAAGATGATGACAGACACCACACAACACGCATTACAATCTGCTTGTTGAGAGGTGAACATTTTTTTCACGTTCGAGACTAGTTTTTATGAAGCCGTGTTGGAGGTAATGTCTATACAGAGGAATCCGCTTCCATTGATACATTGGAAAACAAGATTGAAGTATTTATTCGTGAGTTACCGCTTGAAATGTTGGAATGAGTATGCCTAAGCAGATGGACCATTTGAGGAACGTTGTTTAATTGGAAAAAGTTTCCTGCAGCACGTAAAAAATTCACCCTATAGTACTATGTTGCAGGTTCTTTAAACAAAAATAATTTTTCCAGAATTCCATTTGTTTGTGTGTTAATTTGACGAAGACATAAAGTATAGTGGACATAGTGGACTATACTTCAGGTCCCATTGAGTTATTTGTAGAAAATTAGTTTTGATATATGAATTTAACTCTAACGCTTCGTTTGATACCACAAGTATTTTCAATTGGTATTTAACATCGATACAGGTTACAATCATTCCGTTTAGAACATCTCGAAATGCCTCCCTCATACCTCGTAATGTATGTTCTAGACATTGACATTGAATCCATATAACGATACCTCTCGAATTCAAATTCTGTAGGGGTGTCAGATGCATTTTTTAACCAAAGTAACTGCTTGCCATAATTACAAAAGATAGGACAAAGCTACATCCCAAATACAATTTTTTTCTTTTGGTGCCTCTATTCTTTAATGTCATATACACAGTTTGTATATATGTGTATTGTTTTGAACAAAAAAGAAAATAATTTGAAATTATTTTTAATTCGAGTGCATCAGAAATGCATACTTTCGACGTTAACGGACAACAAATTGCAAATTTTCAGATAAAACTGTATAGTCTTACTATACACCCCATTTACCCCAACATTCCATTCATGTTTTGCGACTTTTCCTCAATATAAGAATTTTGAATTTTTGAAAAAATGTAAAATAAATAAAACCGATTGTTGCATATTTAAAAGTCTTTTCAGCATGATAAGACTCCAGTACAGAGTTCCATTTTCCTAGTTTCTTGAAGTAGAGCAACCATTCTTGTTGAGCCATGATTACTGTAATTTTACGTTTCAGGTTAATGGGTAATATTAGCCGTCTCTGCCGAATAGTTTTATATGAATGCAGTATTTAGAATAGTCGAATAATGGAATAATTAGATTGTTTTATACCCTAAACCACAAAATAATCCGAAATAATCTTCGGATACCCCCATGACGACTTAGCCATATCCTCACTGATAAAGAAAAGCTTATATGCGCGATTGAAAATGGAATGCATAACACTTTTAGTTATGTTCCCAATCTTCAATGTAAGTCCACTATAAGATATGGCCCCTTCATAACGACACCCCCTGATTTTAGTTATTTTGAAGACTACGGCACCCAGATCTACTATCTGATTGACTTGTTTTAAATCGAATTATGGATATTTTACAATTTCTCCATAATAGTCGAAATGGGATCTGTTATTTTAACAAGTGTATTTTTACTTAAATGCCAGCGATTTGTCATACACATACAAATAAATAATTGCATGCAAAAACATGTTTGCATTTATATTCTCCATTTTCACTCGAAAACAAAAGCAACAACTAAGCCACTTAGTAAAGCAACTTGTTGCTTCAAAGACACCATAAATAGGGGAGGGGGAAAAGGACAATAATATACAACTCATCCGTTCCATCGTTTAATTTTATTTATTTTTTTAATTTGTCAAAACGTTAGTCTATCAAAAGGCAAAGAGGAAAAAAACGCGACAAGCAACAACTCTCAATAGGATGTGTGCGCATTTTTTTTTAATTGTTAACGAAGTGTGAAAATTATAGTCGTTATTATGACGAAATGTTTTCGTTTCAATGAGGGGAAGACCTGTGGAGGAAACCCAACTCGTGCCATTTCCGTTTGTCTATTCTCTGTGTGTCTGTCCATTCAAAGTTGGTAATTATTTTATTAACTGCCTTAAAAGTGTACTTCGTTCGGGATAAAACTGACGATTAATATGAAATGGTCTTTATCCTTTATGAATATTACGCCCAACAGCAGCAGTGCTAGCTGAGAGGATGGGGGGCAGGAGGGAAGGGGGGAAGGGCTATTTGCCGTCTTGGCTCCTCAAAATTGTATAAAACAAGAAAATGTTCAAGTTTCAGAGCACAGTATTCATTTGCAACTTCAACATTTCACACGTTTTACAAGTCGCTCGCAGATAACGGTCAGCTGCATAGAACCGCCAACAAATTCAATTTTAAATTTGTTTTGTAACTTTTTTCGGTTAAGTGTTAATTCAATTATTTTTGTCCGAAAAAGGTAAATTAAAATTGTTAATTATTCTTTACGTAAAAGTGTTAGCATTTTCATAAAAAATTACCCAATTTGTAAGTTGTGTAAGCTGGTAGTGTCGTTGTGTGAAAGGAAAAATATCCGGATACATATAAAATTGACTTGTGTTTTGTAACGTAAAATAGTTATTGTAAATTAAAAAGTGGAATTAAAAATTGCATATTTGTGATTTGATTTTATATTTCTTATTGAGCAATTGAAATTGCAGAATATAAGTGAAATATGTAATATATAAATGCTCTGTTCCAGAACCTGTAAGAATCTACTAGATTTACAGTTTTTATAACCTCCAACTTGGAAAGAGGGTATATTAACTTTATCATTCCGTTTGTAACATCCCTAAGTATTCGTCGTAGAGCCCATAAAGTATATATATTCATGATCAATATAAAATTCGAAGCCGATTTAACGATGTCCGTCTTTCTGTCTTTCTGTTGCAATCACAATACAGCCCACATTATTTGACGTAGAGCTTAAAAATGGTATTAAAAATTAGATATTATATCAGTCCACGTTTTGGTATAGCCGCCATATAACGGTGCCTCCCGATATTCGGTATTTTGATAATTTTCGCCACATTTTTCCACGCATTTATCTAAAAATTGATTTATGTACGTCGTAATGGGTTGTAGTATTTCAATGATTTTTGCCACATTTTTCACGAATTTGTCTAAAAATTTGTATTTGACGGAACATTGTATTTATAGGTCCACGATATTCGGTAGTTTGATGATTTTTGCCATATTTTTCCGCAAATTTGTCTAAAAATTGGTATTTGTAGTTCATAATGGGTTCTAGGTCCGGTGACAGAACATTGAATATTAAGGTCCGATATTCGGTATTTTGATACTCCTACGAAATTATTTCAAATTTGATATTTAAGAATATTCGGTAGATGACAATCCTTGAAGTTTAATATTTTTTGGTATGGTTTTATGGTTTTTTGAAAAGTTTAACAGCATTTTCCAAACGATCTTACTGATATTTGTAGTACACGTTTGATTTCAGTTACTTTTATATAAAAATGTTTTTTGCCCAATGGTGGATGGTATTAAAAGTTCGGCCCGGCAGAACTTAATGTTTTTCTATTTGTTTTTTTTTTTTTTTATATTCCTGCAGTTCTGGAACAGACTAATAAATTTAAATTACATTTGAAAATTTTCAAAATTACGGAATATGTTATGACATTACAAGGCTAACAATCTGACAACTAAGTTCGTTGTTACAATACATAAGTGTGATTTAAAATGCAAAGAAAGTCCGACTACTAAGTTTATTGTCAAATTGTTGTCAAAAGCAGGCTTCTTGTCTGACCAAATCAAGGTTTTAAACTTTTTTGATTTTTGTTTGTGATTTTTGTTTGATTTTTGTTTATGTTATTTAAATTTGAAATGTTGTTTTTTTAAACAATGTTTTTCTGAATTTCGGAGGCTGATTTGGAGTTCTTGTGAGAAATTGAAACCTATGTTGGAGAAAAGGAATTTGGTGAGATGATGTTTGGTGGCGGTAATAGTGTCTAAATTAACATCGGCCAAAGGCTTTTCCACGCATTGACGTTGCCACTGCTGACGCCGACCAGCCGGAACTTGAGGACTTCTTGCCTGATGTTATTGCTGTTGTGTTGACTGTAAAGCGTGAAAACCCACCATATTTCTGTGAAGAACGGTCCTGTTTTTTATACTCTCCTACATCAGGGGTTTTTATTACGTTTATCATTCCGTTTGTAACTCATGGAATTAAACGTCCTAGATCAATATAAAATTCTAAGCTATGTCCGTCCGTAATTCTGCTGATATCACTCTAGCATCAGAATGCGGTACTGTTCGGTAACATATTTCATTCTTATATTTTTCAACGGAATTTAATGTTAACTGGACGTTTTGTGTCTTGAAATTGGGGAAACACATTCTTGCAAAGAACTTTCCTTAACGGTTCCTTACTGGAATCGGTATTTTTAAGATTTCAAATGGAATTGTTTGAAAAATTATATTTCGGGTTCAAATAGGTTCAAATAGGTTTGGAGTTCTGGTAGAATATTGTCTATGCAGATTTACATTTTCGATACTGCCGATAAATCAGCATATGACCCGAATTACGACATTCGGAGAAGATTTGTTGATAGAAAATTTTGGATGTGCGGAGTTTTAGGAACATCGTCTATTGATTTCACACTTTCCGGGAGTTATTATTTCAAATGTATGTACAGTGATGAGTGGGCAATATTGTCCATTGTCGCACCTGACCTAAGTCTGACTAGATATTAAATTGTGGGAGGCTTTAACCGTGAAAATTTTTATTTGGCAAAATGTTAATTTTTGTGATAGCAGAAGAAATAGTCAATACCGCCCACCTCTCAACTCCATCAACGTTTGACAGAAATATTGCGATGTTCCATGTCAGTCTCTCCCCTCGAGAATTATTGTTTGTACCAGGCGGACAGATACATCGAAATCGACTCCAAATGTCCGGATACGGATTTCTCCGAAGAGATATTGCATCGTCCAGATTATGTAGACATTTTAATACATTTAACTCGCTTGCGTTTTTTAAACGTTTTGTATTGGGTGGCGCGTGCTGAGTGCGATGATGCTGAGTCCTGTTGGAATGTCCGCGATAACATTCGGCATTTATTTTGATGGCACGGTAGATTAATACAGGCGGAGAGCGACCATCAGCTGATCTCTTTGGCAAGTAAACACGATCATTTTGTTTGCTGGACAACGAACAAACTGCTGGACAACAAATGTTTTCTTATCGGAGAAAACCAAATTCTGCAGTTCAACACTTTCGGCCAAGCAAAGCAACTCTTTAGCTCTTTAGAGTATATTTTCTTTAGGTTGCGGTGTAAGTTTTCGAATTTTCGAATTACAATCGTTTTACCCCGAGCTCATTTTTCAATATTTGCCGAATGGAATATTGCGATAGGTTCAGCTCACGAGCCATTTTTCGGCCTCAGCGACGAGGGTTTCGATCAAGTCGCTTCTTTACTTTTCGAACCATTTCTGCTGATGTTGCTGTTTTCTTCTGTCCACTTCCTTGACGTCGGGCTTCGCTACCAGTATCACGGTAACGAGCGGTGGCACGAAACCCAAAAGATTTATTCACATTTAAATAATGGACTGCTCTAACGATAGTCACTTGTGGTTTTCCAGCCAAATAAAAAGAAATCACACTGTCACGCTTGAATTCCATCACGAATAACTTTATTTCTGGAAATAACTTTATTTCGGATTTTGACGATAATATTCAGTGATTTTCAAGGTTCGTTTGTTTGTAAGACAATTCATGGTTAAATTATAGACCAAATTGAAGATGTTAGACAGTGAAATTAAATTAAAATCTTGAAAAATTGAAGAATAACCTAGATTTTCTTTCAGAAATATGACCGAAATCGTTTCTTAATTCATTTTTATACCCTCCACCATGGGTAGGAGGGTATATTGACTTTGTCATTCCGTTTGTAACACCTCTAAATATTCGTCGTAGACCCCATAAAGTATATATATTCATAATCAGCATAAAATTCTAAGACGATTTAGCGATGTCCGTCTGTCTGTCTGTCCGTCTGTCTGTCTGTCTGTCCGTCTGTCTGTCTGTCTGTCCGTCTGTCTGTCTGTCTGTTGAAATCACGATAGAGCCCACATTATTTGACGTAGACCTTTGAAATTTGGCACAAGTGTGTGTATTGTCCCTAGGATGGTTGGTATTGAAAATGAGATATATCGGTCCACGTTCTGGTATAGTCCCCATATAACGGTACCTCCCGATATTCGGTATTTTGATGATTTATAACACATTTTTTCACGGATTTATCTGAAAATTGGTATTTGTAGGTCATGACGGGTCCCTGAGCGTGTGGCAAAACATTGCATGTATAGGTCCACGTTTTGGTATAGCCCCCATATAACGGTACCTACCGATATTCGGTATTTTGATGATTTATGCCACATTTTTTCACGGATTTGTCTGAAAATTGGTATTTGTAGGTCACAACGGGTCCCTGAGCGTGTGGCAAAACATTGCATGTATAGGTCCACGTTCTGGTATAGTCCCCATATAACGGTACCTGCCGATATTCGGTATTTTGATGATTTATGCCACATTTTTTCACTGATTTGTGTAAAAGTTGGTATTTGTGGGTCATAATGGGTCCTAGTTCGTGTGGCGAAACATTGTAATTATAGGTGCACGTGTTGGTGTAGCCCCTATATAACGGTACCTCCCGATATTCGGCATTTTAATGTTTTTTGCCACATTTCTTCTAGTGTTCTTTTACCCTAGGGTGGAGGGTATTAAAAGTTTGGCCCGGCCGAACTTAATGTTTTTTTACTTGTCATTGCTAAATTGGTTAGGATTATATATAATTGCATCCGCAAGTTTAAATAATTCTTTATAATTTTTTAAATATTTTCTCATTGTCTTCTATTTTTAGATCATCTAGAATTCGACCAAACATGTATTTTGTACGCGTCAGTATTCTCGTAGTGTTTCTATGCTTCTACTATTGCCACGCACGGGCGGAGATTAGGGATCTTCAAACATGCGAATCACATCTGAATAAATATCGCAGATTTTTACTTCAGGCTATTTTGAATTTCGAAGATATCTGCGATGCCTATAATCCCCGTGTAGTTCTTGCTGCAGATAATGGCCTACCACCACAAATGGCATTCCTTGGTCATTACCAACCCACCGAACAGAAGGCAGAAACTTGGACATTCTTGAAATTGTTAATGGCTCAATTCAATGACATGGACTTTGGTAATATTTTACGTGATGCAATAATCGATAGATGCCATTTGAAGTTCCAGCAACAACAGCAGCAGCAATTGATTCAGCAACAACAGCAGCGCGATGAAAAACGTAACACCGTGGTTTTGGGTAAAAAGCAACGTTTCCATTCCTGGGGTGGCAAACGAAGTGGTGGTCTTGTAACCAATGATTTGGACATGGAACATAATGTCGATGATGTTACCATGGCATATTAAACTGTTTCCTGGATTTACAATTTGCATATATGCGTGACCTAACGAAGAATAAAAATGGCTGGTTTTGAATCACTGAAGAAGAAAAAAAAAACAACTTAAAACTCAAATTCCTACCATAATGTGTACAAATGCAAAGAATGTTATAGATTTTACTTATAAGTCTGTGTGTTGTTTTATATGAATATTTTTAATAAATATATAAATTAAGCAGCAATATAAATATATTTAATGTAATTATTTTTGGGGGAACTGAGAAAGTCAAGTAGGCACCGCCCATATTTTATTTACTTGAGGGCACTCATGTAAGGACATCTATTCTTTGATTTTTGAACTACGGCATATTTGAACATTTTAATTTTCAAATAAAATTTTGACAACTACGAGTACAAGGCTTGGAATTTGAGAAGTATTGAAAAATGAATCAATTCAATTGTAAATTTGGAAAGCTTTGTAATATTAAAATTTATTCTGCGATGTTAGAAAATCTTCATCAAAATGATCAATGTCTCAAGAATCAGAAGAGAATTTAATCGATGATAACGGAAACACAAACTCAATCCATACGCATATTTATATACTAGAATTTTCATTGAAGTTTCCGGGCCTATATCATCCGCTGAGCAGAAGGCAATCGCACAATAGACAAATTGTAAGTATCTGTCGATAAAAATATTAACATTTAAAGATCTTCTGGTGGTAAACCAGGTGATTATTCATCATTAAATCTAAGAAAATACAATGAGCCGCAAATTGTCCTTGTCTTTTAAGTTTTTGTATTTAAACTAAAATTCAAGAGGATTTCATCTATCAGTGATCATAGCTTAAGACTATCACCCATCTGCAGACTCAAATTTCCAACAAAAATAGAAATTTCATACTAGTCCGGTAACAATTTCCAATTATTGCAACTCGTAGACACCAGGAAGTAAGAGCCTTCTACCCAAGAGTCTAGGACACCCACATAAGCGCTGCTCGATCGCTTCTATTTCCTCTTCATCTTTACAGAGCCCTAAGCAACCAATAAACATTCGTGACTTGCCTTTATGGCTTTACCACTTTACACCACGAATATATGGCAAGCTGTTGTCAATATATGACAGCTCTTCTCGATTTTACTCGCTGCACTAGTTTACCGTTCTTCTTTCATGCCCTGGTTGAAAACAACCAGGACATCAGCACATGCATACATACAGCAAATTCCCAACTTTTTGCAAATGGTTCATTAAACATACTAAAAACATAGAAAAATTATCTTCGAATCAGAACCCTACAATGCTTTTATTGAAGTCATAACCTATGAATGTGCCCCAAGGCTTTAAACTTTACACAGAGATTGGGATACAAATTATTATGTATGATCCAGATATATATTATATTAGACTAATGATTCTAGCTATTTATATTATAAGAATTTATAGAAAATCAGATTAAGGATATATATGGGAGCTATATCCAAATCTTTGCCGTTCTCGATAAAATTTGGTAAATGTATTTCTGAGCTCTATAAGAGCTGTCGGATGCATATTACGAATGTGAGGGACTTAAACGCCAAATCGGATGAAACATATAAATATATGGAAGTTTTAGCTATATCTGAACCGATTTTCACCAAATTTGATATACTTGCTTTTAGACTAAATTTGGTCGGATGTACCAACATTTAGGAATTATTGTCGTATATTGGCCAATTGGTGCACAATAAACCCGAAATCGGTTGAAGATATATGTGGGATAAATATACGAATTTGAACCGATCTTGATAAAATTTTGCAGAGGTATTTCTGTGCTGTACATGATATCTGGCATCTAATATAATTTTAGTCGAATGTATATTCAAATGTGAGAGACTGAAACACCAAATCGTGCAGTGCATATTACGCAAATCGGATTAAACATATATATGGGAACTATACCTATTTCTGAACCAAATTTGATGTACTTGCTTCTAGACGGAATTTGGTGGAATGTACCAACATTCAGGTCATTAGGACTTATATTGGCTATTTTCTGCATAATTAACACGAAACCGGTTGATTATATATGGGAGCAATATCTAAATCTGATCCGATTATCACCAATTTTAATATGGTTTGTTTGGAAAATTTCATTTCAATCGGATAATAAACGCGACCTGAATTTTGCTCACAAGAATACGTGGACAGACGGGCATTGAAAATAATAATTCGAAGCAAAAGTTATTTGCATTTTTGGTTGAGAATATTAGTATATCAACTAGAACTTTCGCAGCACCCACAATTGTCAGCTCTATATTCTTTAATGATGTTTAATTTAGAATTGCATAAAATATTGCTATTTATTGACCCCTGGTTTGGTCATTAATTAGTCGTTAAAATGTACGCGCTACGGTTTATTGCAACCTTGTGCTAGCGCCTTTGACATTTTAACTACTAATTATTTGTCACTTGTTTTGCCGCCTCCTTTAGACATCAAGGAGTATTTGGCTGTCATTCGGACAGACAACACCCGCAATATCGTTTGCAAGCACATATCGTTGTGCATAGAGAGGCATATTGTTGCCAAAGGTAATATCGTTACCTCTTACCAAACTAAGAATAAATAGATCTATATTATATTAAGGAAAACCTCTGTTGTTTTATTTCTTTTTATATTTCCCCCCTACGGTCCACTGCTCGACGCATTCGGCGTTTTACTCCCATCGGCGGAGCCCCTCTGAGCTAAACATTGGTCCAATCGAACCGGATATTATTGCCCTCTTGAACGCATTTGGAATCCAAAATTTACAGTCCATTAATCCTGCATTGCAAGGTACGTATAGTGCAGTGTTTTAAAGTGAGCTCGCGTTAGTAAATTGCCGCGACAATAACAAAACATTCGGTTTTGTTCAGGTCCAAAGGTAGTTTTACAACGTCACATCTTTCTTTTGTTTTGTTTCCCGCCAATCGTTGGCTTCTATTTTGGATTCTTGCATTCGGCAGCATCATAATCAAAACAAAAATCAAAAATAATAAATTAATAAAGCAAAACTCAAAAATAAAATTGTTGCTTTGTTGTTTGGTTCATGTAAAACAACAAAACATTAAATATTTCGTTGATACCAACAATATTATCGTCGTTGCTAGTTCTTAGTTTGGCGTGCTTTACTACATAAAGCAAAGATTGCAATATAATTCTTTTGGTTTGGTCTGTCCGTTTTAATATTGCATATTGTTGTTGTTACATTTATTCTCTTTTTCTCATTGCAACAACAGTCAAATTCATTTTCTGTTTTGTTTGTCGCAAAACAACAACAACACTGTTTGAACCACCACCGCTGCTTGCTTGCTTTGTCGTCGTTCTCTGATCAGCACTTGTTGTTTGTGCTTTGTTAGATCAGTGAACGAACATAACAAACGAAGGAAGAACATTTTTGTTGATTCCTCTTTCTGTCGTGTCCGTTTAAGTTGAGTAGCTACACTACGTGGGTCGGTCACTTTTGTTAGTTACATTGTTTGTTATAGGACATTGGAAAGTTAAAACTAAAATAAAATAATATAGTTAATTTTATTTTTTGTTGTTGTTTTGGAAACTTTAAAATTAATACAACCTATAGACGGTAATTCTGGCAAATTAAACAAATAAAAATAAAATAGTTATTTTATTTATTTTTGCATTTTCCCCCAAAATTGTTCGGTATTTCTTCATTTAATTATGGCCTTCGCTCCTCTACAAACCTTCTTTAGAGCATTGGACGCTCTGACAGAATTTAGTGCACAAATCGGTGCAATAGAAGATACTAATTTAGATATTAGTTTTTTAGAGGAAAGGAAGAGCAAGTTAGAAAAATTATGGCAAGCGGTAAATAAATCGTTGCGCCGCTTAGAAAATTCGGAAAATGTAACCAAAGAATATCTCCATTTGGCAGAAAGTAAATATAACGTTTCTATTAACATTTACTCTAGTATGATGGCAACAATTAATAGAAAAATTATAAAATATAGTTGCCTAACAAGAAATTCAAATAAAATTGAGGATAAAAATCAAGAGCAATCGGCTCAATCTCTTTTGGTTCCTGAATCGCAGGAAAATATTGCCGCAAGTATTTCTTCTGGTTGTGATATCGTTCACAATATGACACTGCCCCCTATTGATATTGATATTTTTGAGGGAGATTTTTCTTCTTGGCCTTCCTTTCGGGATTTGTTTAGTGCAATTTTTATAAATAACTCTCGCTTGAGTGATGTGCAGCGCTTGTATTACTTGCTGCAAAAGACTACTGGTGATGCAAGGGAAATAGTTTCCCAATTTCCTTTAACAAATCGTGGTTTCGCTTTCGCTTGGAAAGCATTAAATGATGAGTATGACAATACTCGTATGTTGGTACATCGTCAGTTGTCTTCGTTATTTAGTCTTCCAATTCTAGATAAGGAAACAATCTTTGGTTTGAAAGAGATTAGAGTTGGAATTAATCGTTGTATCTCCTCCATGTCGACTTATAACGTTCCCACGGATCAATGGGATCCGATACTTGTCTTTCTTTGCCTGCAACGCTTACCGGAAGAAACGACACTGCTGTGGGAACAAGGTATCAAAAACAAATCGGCTCTTTCTTCGTGGAAAGATTTAGACACATTTCTTTCAGAGCGGATAAACACGCTTGTGTGTTTGGAAAATTATAGAGAGAAATCCATTCCTTTGCAGGATTCAAATTCGCTTGACACCGCTAGAAAGTGCAAATCTAAATGTTCGTCTCCCCCTTCTATTGGAAAATCGTGTCGTCTTTGTCATAAGTATACCCATCGCCTTCATTTGTGTCCAACATTTAAGGAATTATCTCCCGCAAAAAGGTTTGCATTCGTCAAGCGCCACGAACATTGTATAAATTGTTTGGTAAAGGGACATAAACTAGTAAATTGTACTAGTAAAAATAGTTGTTGGAAATGTGGTCAACGTCATCACACGTTACTACATCGCGAGTCATTAAAACCGAATAGTTCTTTTCCGGTTCTGACTCCAAAAGCTCAGGCAAGCTCGTCAAAATCGTTGTTGTCAGCTGCAGCCCCAGTTTTTCGTCCCTCAAAATATACATCCTCCACATCGGTTGGAGTCGAAAATCCTAAATCTAATTTTGTTCGTTCGAAATCGTTGTACAAAATGTCCAAAAGGAACCTTATTAAGTTTATAAAAGTGAATTTATCGGAAGGTAATCAGTCAACAAAACGTAAATTTGTAAGCAATGTTGTAAAGCGACCTTCACATAAAATCGGTCTCGCGACAACTGGCAATGTATATACCGACATTGGCACAGGGTCTCAATTGGAACCCCCCTCGAATATCGTTTCGGGAAACACGTAGCTCGATTGAAGTCCGAATCTGTAACTGCAGGTTCATCTGCGGCTTCAAAATATTACATTTCGTGTAATAATATGCTTGATTGAAGTCCGAATGTGTTACTGCAGATTCATCTGCGGCTTCATATTATCGTTGTAGCGGAGATGGATCCCGAATCTGTTACTGCCGATTCATCTGCGTTTCCATTCCCTACATTTAGTTCGAAAAAAAAGCTCACACTGCACTATACAACCCGTACCTACTACTGGAACTAATATAGATTAAGTTAATTGTGTTGAAACATGCTTTGATGTTTCAAGGGGGTCGGCATGTTTAATTTAGAATTGCATAAAATATTGCTATTTATTGACCCCTGGTTTGGTCATTAATTAGTCGTTAAAATGTACGCGCTACGGTTTATTGCAACCTTGTGCTAGCGCCTTTGACATTTTAACTACTAATTATTTGTCACTTGTTTTGCCGCCTCCTTTAGACATCAAGGAGTATTTGGCTGTCATTCGGACAGACAACACCCGCAATATCGTTTGCAAGCACATATCGTTGTGCATAGAGAGGCATATTGTTGCCAAAGGTAATATCGTTACCTCTTACCAAACTAAGAATAAATAGATCTATATTATATTAAGGAAAACCTCTGTTGTTTTATTTCTTTTTATATTTCCCCCCTACGGTCCACTGCTCGACGCATTCGGCGTTTTACTCCCATCGGCGGAGCCCCTCTGAGCTAAACAAATGACAAATTTTATCCTTATCTATCATATATTTTTCTAGTTCAAATCTGTTTTTGTATGCTTTACTAAACACTATTATAAAGGGCTAAAATAATTGTAGCCTTCACTAGGTATAATTAGGTAGGTGATAAACAAACGTATTGCATTGAACGTCCATCCAATGTCGTCTAAAGCAATATTAGGGTAAAGAATACTGCCCAAAGTTCTCGCGATACGCAGTAATTATCTAACTAATATAAAACACAAAATATAAAACACAAAATTTAATATTTTCCAACAAAAAATTGGGTTTACATTTCTCTATATAAAAGTCTGCAGATGTATATAATTTTTCTGGAGTTTGGAACATTGCTTTAACAAGTATCAAAAATGCCAATTGGAAAATGGTCTTATTTCAGCCACATACGAACATACGTTGTGATTGATATTCCATGACGACTCTTCTTAACAGTATTTATAAAAAATGCATTATGTCCTTGAACATCTACAAAACTACTCATTAAAAATTGAAATACCATCAATATTGGAAGGACATTAAGTAGGTATGTCTTTGCCATAAAACAATTTGTCATTATTTCTACCATGGATTTACGTATACACATTTTGACAATGAATTGTAAACAGGTCTACTACAAAGACTAACTATTTATAGGTGGCCAAAAATAACTAATTTTTTCTTGTTACAAAGCCTTGTTAAAATAGTGGATCAGTAATCCATTTGGTATTGATCTTTTTATGTGCCGGGGAGTGACCCGTTTGCAACTATGTGCAATCTGAATCCATCTTAATCCGCTTTTCAAAAATTTCTCGCCTAGTATTGGAATGTCAACAATAATATGACAATTTGATGGTATGCAGCAAGCATAAATTTCCTTAATTCATATTCGACTTGCCTTATCCATCCTTTCCACATATTATTTTTGTAAGAGATCCGTATGATTTTGTCCACTTGAACAGGGAAAACATTTAATCAAAGAATTGCCAGGAGCGTACTCATGCCATGCTGAGCTGCTATTGGGATGAAGCATATGCAAAATAAGGACCAGATAGTCCAAGTTCTATTAGCAAGTTTTATTCAAAACATGGACATTTTTCCCACAAGAATTACATTGCTTTCAATACATAATCTGTTATTGTTTTGCTGTAGGAATATGAGTTAATGGCTTAATTGATTAATGGTCGTCCCTCGGTCGGCACGGGTGTGAAATGAGTGGCGTTGGGTGCGTTCGATTAAAAAAAAAGATTCTTTTGATATTCTGCAAGCTAGTTATACCATTTGAAACAAAGACAGGTAAGAGGGGCATTAAGTTCGGCTAAGCTTGAAATTAATTCAACAATTCAAAACCACTCTTTCCAAATATTTACAAGAGATTCTTTCGTTGTTAACAATCTTTATTATGTGCTTAAACCGAATATCAGGTTTTACCATATTTTGATACAATTACATTTTAAACACATATACACAATTTACTATTTCGACTTCATAATGAATAAATTATCATTTTGAAATCGAAATAGTAATTTATACATAAGAGGTTTACGACGAAGTGAACCCTTTAAACTACTTACAATCCGGAAGACTCTTTAACAAGTAAAAAACAGCTAAGGCTGAGCCGAACTTTTTATACCCTCCTCCATTTGGAAGAAAATTAATTTTGAAATTTTCACCACATATCAAACACTTTTGTACTACTCTTCGGAAAGAAGATTTGTTCATGACAAATGAACAAATGTCTGTCAATCCATTCTCCAAATTAAAATCGTCTATAAGAAAATTACTCAAAAAGGAATATTAGGATTTGTCCATGGGTGCTATCCAACAATGTCTAGGAGTACTTTGTCCCAAATCTTTGTTGACTTTTTTTAATGCATGCAGTGATTTTTGCATTTTTCAATTAGCAGACATTGATAATAATAATTCGAATTAACATTTTTGGTTGAGAACAAAAACACCAATTTGCAGCCCGTTTCGTTCGAACAGACATTCAAGAAGGTATTTGTTGGGCATACAAAGACGTGAACATGCATAAAAATTTTTCTCTCAAACGTAGAAGTATCCATTGAAAGATCCAACACGAAATTCAAAACAATTTCGGTCTATAATGTCGCTAAATCATCAAAATACATAATATTGAGAGGCACTGTTATATGGGGGCTATACGAAGACGAGAACCTGCATACAAAAAATTTTCCCATAGGCTGTAGTATCCATTACAAACTTCAAATACCAAATGTGAAACAGTTACGGTGAATAATGTCGCTAAAATCATCAAAATACCGAATATCGGGAGGTACCGTTATATGGGGGCTATATGAAAACGTGGCCCATTTACGAATTTTACCTGCCTACTAGCAAAATAAACATGTGTGCAAAATTTTAGCCTTCTATCTCAATTCGTTCGTTTTTTACGCTGATCAAGAATATATATACTTTGTTGGGTCTAAGATCGTTATTTCGATGAGTTACAAACGGAATGACAAAATGAATATACCCTCCATAGTATGGTGGAGGGTATTAAAAAGAAAAAACAAGTTAAAAAGCAGTAAGTTCGGCCGGGCCGAACTTTGAATACCCTCCACCTTTTGAAACGAATTTTAAAATTTTCAAAGAATAAAATTCTTAAAAAAAATTCTATTAAAATTTTAAAATTATAAAATATAGCCGTTTATTGGTGTCTATACGACGTGGACCTACATAGGAATTGTTTGTCATAAGCCATTACCATATTCAAACTCGAAAATTGAAATAAAAAGTGAATAATGAAGCTAAAATCGTCAAAATATAGCATATAGGGAGGTACCGTTATATCGGAACTGTGCGAAGACCTGCACCTGCATAGACAATTATCTGTCACAGGCTGTAGCATCCATTACGAACTTCAAATACCACATCTCAAACAATTTCGATGGGTATTGTACCTAAAATCGTCAAAACTGATATATGGGACCTATACTACATATGGGGCCTGCATAAAAATTTTGTATCACAAATATCGGGAGGTACCATTATATGATGGCTATTTGAAAACGTGAACCTACATGACCCATTTACGAACTTAACCTGTCTACTAGCAAAATACACATCTATCCCAATTCGATCGAAAGATATCCTGATTACAACAGATAAATAGACGGACATCAGTAAATCGACTAAGAATTTTACGCTGATCCGGAATATATATATATACTTTGTAGGGTCTACCATGAGTATTTCGAGGAGTTACAAAGGGAATGACAAAATCAATGTACTATGGTGAAGTAAATAAAAGGATGAACCGTAATATGATGGCTATAGCAAAACGTGTACCAAGGTATTACATATTCAATCCCATAATCTAGGTAGATCCCTTCAAAACTTACGAGTGATTAACACAAGACCGACATTTGTAAATCGCCTTAGAACTATATGCTGATCAAGAATATGCATATATATAGATATATACTTTATAGAGTTTTAAATTATTATTTCGATGACTTTAGTCTAGCTTTTATTACATTTCCTGTATAGTTGGAATTTCGTACCCAACAAAAACTCAAAAGCTTTGTTCCCAATGTAGCCAATGTAGGTTCTATGGAAATTACTAATACGAAGATAGGTCTGGTGTATTCGGTTCATATATGAACAAGATTTAAGCGCTGTCCATTGTTAAACGCCATGTCCGGGGTTAGCTTTGAGCTACTTGACAATTACTCTAGCAATTCCATTCATTTATTCTTACCGAGATTCTTCTCACAACTTAAAGATTCTCTTGAAGTAATAGCTTTTCCACGCATTTGTACATAGTCGAACCATTAGAACCCATGGGATACGAAAACATAATGTAATCTACCAAAAAGGGAAGTTTTATTAACAAACTTACCATTTTTTATTAATTATGTTTATTCTGGTTGGTAAAGTTGAACCAATTGATAACAAATATAGAATTAAAACCGTTCCAAATGTTACGAATAAGGAGAGGAAACAGAATGAGCGACTTGACAACTTTGTAGTTTGTTTACGAATTTGGAGAAAAAGAAATGGAATGAAAAGTGGGTACCATCAGCTGACGAGGATAGCAACAAACAAATCGATATTTGATTAATCGATGTTTTATCGATAACGTTTTAAAATCGATTTATCGACATAATATCCGTTACACACATGAATCACACAGATTAAATTTGAAAACAACGAAAATACCAAATTATATAAAATGCGTAGAACAACCAAGTCATATCTACTAGGCAAGAATATCAAAAGAATAATTTTTCTTATAATCGTGAATCAAAACTGGTGATTGGGAAATTAATTTGTTAGAAACATGACTCAATTACAGAAGATAGAATAAAGCTACCTTTTAAATACATTTTTTCTTGTGATGCCCCTAATCTGTGAAAACATATACACAACAACAACAACAACAGAAATTCTTAATTTCCCCGTTAGCGGACAATGAAATGTAACATTTTGGAATAAAACCATTTCGTCCCTCAATCTTGGATTCAATTTTGTGAAAAAAACAGTACAGAGTTGTGTAACCTTTGTTTTTGGTTAGAAATATTTCCAGCGATACCTTTTAAGAAGATTGTGTAGTCTGTAGTTTGTTTCGGTATTTTGGCCAGAATAATTGCCCATTTTTTTCTTTTATTCCAAATTTCTGATATTTATTGTAAAAAATTTGATTTTTGTCTGCGACACTACGTATTCAGTTTTTCTTGAGATCCACTTTGAAATTGTTATTATACAATGGACACATGACCTCCATCAGTAATCCGTCTATAAAACAACTACAAGAAAACTGTTCCATCAATGCTGAACCATGTTCGATGTTGCATGACCTAAATACATTTTAACTTTGTGCTCAACACCTGTCAGGAAAAAGCGTAGAGCGCTTTGCCATTAGGTTTACTAGCATATTTCGAATCTTCGTATACCAAATAACACAACGCTGCCACAATATGGTATTGTGAAACACAATTGAACCATTCCATATTCAAGCCTTAAGGTACGGTCACACTGGGCAAATATTTGATCGAAATTTGTTTTCCCATATTTGACTGAACAAATGTGAAATTCATACAGAGTTGATTCGATGTTCACATTACAGTCAAATATTTGACAGATTTTGTTTGTTCAAACAGTCACCAAATAGCGTCAAATAGTGCTATGGGGAAACATGTTTGACACATGTTCACATTCGTAAAATATATTTTCCCAATAAATTGTTTGATCAAACTGTGAGGAAACATAAATATATTTGGCCGAGAGAAATAGACAGAGAGAGTGAAAGAGAGACATAAAGAAAATGGAGTTTCGGGTATAATTTATTTGGAGAAGGGAAGCAAATGACCAGCTGTTGTGGAATAAATTCCTTGTCAGAACATTTTTTTGCATTTTTGTATGTTTGTATCACGGTAGAAGAATACTGGTAGTCGCATCGACATAGCTGCTGGGACAATGAACTGACAAAACAATAATGAATGAAATATTATTGAAATTTGTAAAAATTGTTGAAAAATACATATCATTGCGTAAAAGAAAACATAGAAAAATCTTCTTCTAAATGGTGGGACTTAGCTCCTTTTTTACTTGTCTTAAATTTTCAATATTTAAATTTAATTCTTGAACTATTATGTTGACGGTTCTCAAGCAGTTGCACAATATTGACCAATTCGTATCGGACCTAAGACTGGTAAAAATATAAAAAACGTGCCAGATTTGGACTATATCGACAACTTCCTATGCTTTATATGTGATGTGTGCAAATTTTTGGAAAAAGTGGAAATATACGTGAGGTACCACATATAGCGGACCGATATATTCCATCGAAATATTTCATGTATGTGCAAAATTTGAAGGAAATTGACCATTTATATCCACTTTTATCCGAAATCATAAATTCCGATAAATTACATATTCATATCAGATTTGTAGTTAAGAGAAATAAATTGTGACCCTTTGTGGGTGGTGTACCAGAAAGAGTTGGCAGATGTATATCATCTTCACAACAGACCTTGCGCCAGCAGAAATGTTTGGATGTGTGAAATTTGAAGAGAGTTGGATGCTTATTTCGCTTTCATTGAGCGTTTTGTTTTTCAACATCTTGAACGCTAAATGTACTTCCCTCATTTAGCAACCAGAAGAAATGGTGCGATCTTTACCATCTTTAAAGCAGATATTGTGTTGATGGAAATATTTAGAAGTATCAAGTCAGAATGGAATCGGGCGTTATTTTCGTTTTATGAACTCCATGGATACTCAAAATTTGGACCCTTTGTGGAGGAGGTACTTGATGGAGTATATCTATATATCCCATCTTCACACCAGACCTTAGGTTAATAAATATTGCTGTGTGTCAATGAAGAGAACCGGATGCTTTTTTCGGATTTTATGATCGTTTTGGTTATTCAAAGTTTCGACTTTTTGTGGGGGAGGTACAAGAAGGAATGGTCCGATCTCTGCCATCTTTGAAACAGATCTTGCATTGAAGAAACATTGAGATGTACCAAGTCTGAATGGAATCGAATCTTAATTTCGTGTTTTATGAGCTTCATTAATATTCAAAATTTTGATCCTTTGTTGGGGACGTACCAGAAGGAGTTGACAGATATTTTCCATCTTCACTCCAGACCTTGGGTTAATAAAAGTATTGTGATGTTACATAACATTTTACAAGAGTTATAATTATTCCAAATTTTGATCCTAGGCACTTGATCCTAGGCACCTGATCTAACTCTAATCCAAATATTTGGATTTGCAAAGTTGGAGCAAGATCGGATTATCCTTTCTCTTTCTGTGCAGTAAATCATTTTCTTTCAAAATGTTAAGATTTTGTTGCATACCAGCCAGTCAGACAGACAGGCGGAAGGACGGACATTGCTAGATCGACTCCAAATGCTCTGAAACAGATTTGGTCCAAAGAGATCTAGGGTCTAAAACCATTATTTCGATGAGGCACGTTTTGCAAAAGAGTGCCGATATATTTGCCGTTGTTACGACTGCGCCACAAATTATCGTAATTGTAAAATTTGTCTCATAGAAATTGTAAATCAAACATATGAAGATAAATAAATTATCAATAGTTACAAAATCTGAGATATAAAGTGACCAATTCTACTGTAAAGCAAATTGTGTTAAATTATTATTTCGAGAACACTGTAAATTTTTCAATATCAACACCTTAATATATTACTTTGACATGCAAATTCTGTTTGATACCCTCTAACCATGGTCGCAATAATGGCATGGCATCTTCAAGTAGGCGCTTCTTATCATAAGAAAAACAGAAAATATACCGAAATTCCCAAGTTCTTTGTTCGCAAATTTGAACAAGACTAAAAAAAAAACATTTTTAAAACAATCGCTAATTTATGGATCTATTTATTTTTAATCTCTAGTTTTTACTGCATTGTGAACCAAGTATTATCAACCAAAGCAGTTCCAACGATTTTCTAGCAATGAGATATAGTAAACAATTTCTTTAAGATCCGCTTTACACGATTTGTGATAATAAGTCCTTACTATTGAACACAGTGACTGATTTCAAATATATTTGGTGTTATTATAAAGTATATGCACGGAATTTCGTGTATGTTTTGTAATAAATGTGCTATATATATATATATATATATACATATATATATCAACTATAGTTGGCATAGTTCCCACCTAAAGATGAAGTGTACATTTTACATTAAAGGTTTAATCAACCCAATATTGATAGATGCTAACGTGTTCAGAATATTTCATTGGCAAACGTCAGATGGCTTTATTTTTTAATTTTACCAAGAAATGTTCCATTCATCTTGCGTAAATAATTATGGAATAAAAGTTGGAAAATTCGAGTAAAAAGGAAAGGATGGAAAAGCTGCATCAGAGAACTTAAAAGCAGAAGAGTTAAAAATCCAATTCAAATCCCTGATGATGACTATCGAAGATAGTCGAAATATCGGATAAATAAATTAATATATAAAAAAACAAATTCGTCTGTTTTTTTTAAATTCTGACCTCGAGCCAAACGAAAAACCAGAAGAAAATAAGTTAAAATTATTTAAAAACAAGTAAAAAAGCTGTAATTTTGGTCGGGCCGATCTTTGAATAACCTCCAAACGATTTTAGCAATTTCCCAAAAAAATGCTGTTAAAATCTTAAAAATACCGAATGTAAGATTATATGGGGGCTATATGAAGACCTGGACCTGCACAGACAATTTTATGTTATAGGCTGTAGTACCCATTAGAACTTGAAATACCAAATTTGAAAGATTTCCGGTAAATAATGTTAAGCGACATTACCAACAAAATACCAAAAAAAGGAGATACCATTATATGGGGGCTATACCAAAACGTGCATCTACATCACCCATTTTCAATACCAAAAATCCTGAAGACATAATACACATTTGAGTAAAATGTTATCAACCTACTTCATTTCGTTCGGGAGCTAGAGTGATTTCCACAGACTGACAGTCAGACGGACATTGCTAAATCGACATAGAATTTTATGCTGATCAAGAATATATATATTTTGTGGGGTCTAAAATGGTATTACAAACGGAATGACAAACTTAATATACCCTCCATAATATGGTGGAGGGTACAATGATAGATGGATTTCAATATGATAAAGGGTTACCATTACCGATTTGACAAATGAGATTGCCTATTAACTCTGTCATGATTGGGTACATGCATGGTAGAAGAATACAGGTAGATGCATCAACGCTTGGACACATATGAATGGATATGTCAACAATTTTTGAATATTTTTTAAAAAATGTAGATTTTTTATATGTTTTCCTATACGACGCCAATCAGAGGCTATTATGATATGCATTTTTTATTTTTACAAATTTGAATAAAATCCGTTTCAGGACATTTGGAGTCGATCGAGCGATGTCCGTCCGCCTGGCTGAGGGAGTGTCCGATTTGGTCCAAACTTGGTACATCGTAATATTTTTCAAACTTAGGTCGAATTCGGAGATGGGCAATATCGATCAACTCCTTCTGGTACCTC